TATCTCACTACTAGAATTTAACATAAAACCCATACTTAATAAAAATTAAGTCTTAAGGGTTTTAATCGGATTTTTCGTGGACTTGGAACTCTCTCATTCTTGAAAAATTATGACTCAGAGAACTAATATTGGAGTCTCGGGACTTAAAAATTTTTTTCTAAATTTTTCTCCTTTGAAAATAATTTTTTTTTTAAAATTGAAATCGTTACGAAAAACGGACTCCAGAACACAAAATAGGCTTAAAAAAATCAATTGGGCTGCATGAGCCACAATTTGGGCCGCTACATTAGTTACTGGGCCGCACATGAAGGTCTGGCCCAAGGCAAAGCAGCTGAAGCAGACGCGGGCCTCCACTGGGCCGGGGCGCGGGCCAATAGCTGAGAGAGAAGTCGGGCCGCTCGCGGGCCAGAATCGGGCCTAGCGGCCCGCGCGCTGGCTGCTAAAAAAAAAGAAGGCTATTTGCACAGGGCTGGGATCGAACTCTGCACCTATAACGTATATATCAGCGGCACAACCACTGCGCCACTCGACTAGATGCGATGCTAATTGAATACAAATATATATAAATTGTGAAAGACAACCCTGCTATTCAACAGCAGAAATCGAAACAGAGGCTGCCCATAGCTTGAAAAAAAATCCTAACAGAAGCTACAGAATACAGAATCTGAACAATCATATATGAATTGTGTCTTATCAGAGTTTGAAACATTTTAAAGAAAACGGTTTTGACTCGAAAACGAAACGACTATAATAACGATTCGAACGAAACGCAAATATGAGTAACAAAACGATAAGGCTCGAGATTTTAAACCGAGACTCTGAATTATCTTGACCAAAGAAATCTCAGCAGCTAATGACCAATACACGTTAAAAGAGAGTTCCACGAGTATCCACGACAAACACGAAAAATCAACAAACATAAAAGAACCGAACAAAAATCCGACGATCAACGAGAATCAATAGCTGAGCATGGTATATATTCAGCGAATAACACGATTACGCAAGAATAAACTGAGAAGGTTCGAAAGAATTTACCCGTCTTCGGGAATATCGGAACGACGGGTCGGACAACAGGGCGACCGGAACTCGGAACTCCTCGAAACTTGATGGACGACTATTGGAAACTTGATGGACGCCTATTGCTCACGAATGTCCTGCTGCTCCTCACGATGGACGAACAGGTCGGAAATGAGACTCGGCACGAACAGGACGGCCGGCTCGGCGGGGATGTGCTTTCCGTGCGTGAACAAAGTCAGTAACGTAGGTCTTCGACGGAGGTGACGGATGAGGGTGTTGCAAGGTATTCGAATCAGATGCAGTAACCGTGAGCAGGCCCGCGATGGAAGGTTGCTCCGAACAACGGTGATGGCAGGGCTCTCACCGGAGATGATGGTGGAGACTGAATTTTTAGGGCAGGATGGTGTTGAACGATAAAGTAGAAAACTCCCGAACTGAAACTCGGTCAGTTTATAGGGATAAGATGAGAGATCAATCAGCGATGCGAAGAAGATTTTCCCATAAAATCGCAACAAGAACTTAGTCGTTGAGGGACGGAGAAACCTAGTCGTACGCGTAGGAAGAAGGAATATCTGTTCTTTTCTTTTTGCACGTGAAAGTATGACCCATACCATGTTTCTCAATTGGGCTTGAGTCAATTGGGCCAATTTAAAACAATTTGGGCTGAAATAAATTAATTTCAATTGGCCCGGGAACAATATACAATGCAATAATAATAATTCCTGATCAGTTCGAGTGACGACGAAATAAATCGAATAACACAACTTATAATATTAATTAGATTACATCTAATTAAATAATAATAACAAGTCTAAACAGATATGTTGAGCGATACACAATAATAATATTTACATATTAATAAGCAAATAATCAATTTAGACATTTAATCACAACAACAACAACAACAATAAATATAATAATAATAATAATAATAATAATAATAATAATATGAATAAGCAATAATAATGGCAATAATAAATCAATAAATAATCCTAAATAATTCTAATTGAAACGGGGCGTTACATTCTATCCACCTTACATAGAATTCCGTCCTCGGAATTCGAAAATAAAACTAGAAAGCGATAAAATACAAAAGAGAACTCAGAACTCAAAGTTCGGATAACGCCTCCTAATCTCGGCCTCCTTTTCCCAAGTCGCCTCGGTCTCATCGTGTCGGCTCCACAGCACCTTCACCAAGCTCACTGCCCGGTTCCTCAGCTGATGGACCTTCCGATCCAGAATAGCTACCGGCACCTCCTCATAGGTAAGGTCTCGCTCGACCTGCAGTTCGTCGAAGTCCACCACATGATTAGGATTATGCACATACTTCCGAAGCATCGAGACATGGAATACGTCGTGCACACCCGACAAGTCTGGTGGTAAAGCCAGCCGATACGCTAAGTTCCCGACTCGGTCGAGGATCTCGAACGGCCCAATATAGCGAGGTTTAAGCTTCCCCTTCTTCGCGAAGCGAATCACACCTCGCATGGGTGAAACCTTCAGGAAGACATTTATACCAACATCAATCCCACGGTGATTACATAGTCTCCAATCGAGACTCGAGACTCCGCTCGACAATGCAACACCTCAAATTCCTGCCGCCTCGAGGGACATCCCTCTCATAGCTAAGCACTAATCAGCAAAACTCACTTAATCAAGAATTAAGTGATTTAGAGAATTCATGCATTAGTTCGGTGGAACTTGGAGCTCTCGGTTCAAGTTTCAAAAGACAAGGTTCAAGAGGTCTTCCCAACACATTATGATACAAAAACTGGTTGAATGGTTTAAAAATGAATCAACGGTATGGTCGATGCACTGTCCCCCGAGAGGTGGCACACTCGTTGGCGCTGCATAAGCGGGACGCTGGGACGCGGGTGTGTACCTGTTCGGAGAGCAACTGCAAGGTCAAGGCTTGGCCGTACGTACTGGCATGGTGAGTTTGGCGTTCGGTGATGGCGGCTGCAGCTCACGTGCGAGTCAACGGTCGGCTGTGCACTAGCCTCACGTCTCTCAGCACGGACACTCGGCCACCACTTCGCGTGGCTACACCCGGCCAGGGCCGGCTTTGGGTTCGAGGTATTGAGAAGAACTTCTCCAAATCAAAGGTAAACATTTCCAAGGTGATTGGAAGGACACGGGTTTTACACAAAATTCTAAACGACAACAATTTGGGGTTTAATCAAAAAACAATTTCCCCCATCATGCAGGTATAGAATAGCTTCAATAGTTTCAAGGGTTTCAAATTTTTTTATAAACCGAGTTCCAAGTTCACCACCTTCCCTAATCAACACAGTCTCCATTGAACAAACAACGATAGAGGTCGGGAGAACTTCCCAAAAGGAATGAGGATCGATTCCGCGGCTCGGAATAATCTCGATCATAGCGGTCACTATCGGGTAATGAAATGCTTAGATCACTCGACTCTTCCGACTAACAGTGTCGGCCATCATGTCAGCTCTTGGTCAAGTAGCTAACCGTGCCGGTCGTCCTAAATGAGCTTCAAAAGATTACGACAAAAGAATATCAGAAACGAAGACGGCTATGCACTTCGCGAGGTGCCTGCACCAGGCACGGCTACCCTCCTTAAAAGATTCTCAAAATCTTTTAAGGTGGAACAACACTTCTCGACTCCCCAACTTCATATTGAATTAGAGGCATCACAACACAAGGTTCTCAATATACGAGGATAGATAAGGATCACCAAAGAATTTAAAATGATTAACTCCATCAGAAATCTTATCCCATGCAAAGGAAGGAAAGACAAACAAAATTCCAAGTACTGAAATTGAGCAGAATAAAGGAGTTCCAAACACAATTCAAAATAGTCTGCAAAGCGAAAGGAAAATAAACAAGGGTCTGCAAAGTTTCAAAGAAAACAAAACTAAGAGAATAAAAAAATGAGGTCGCTACGACTCCACGAGTCCACGGTTTACCCTACTGTTGCTGAGGCAGTGGTGGAAGATGTTGTTGCTGCTGTTGGGGTGGCTGCTGCTGATGCGGCTGCCTCCGGGGCTCGGGGCACACACTGATGAAATGTCCAGGGCGGAGGCAGTTGAAGCAGACTCGCTGAGTATATCGACATTGCCCAGAGTGGGGTCGACCACAGTTTGAACATTTCGGAAGTTGACCCTGGGTGGCAGGTGGAATGTCGCGGCGGTCTGGGGCTGCACGCTTTCCCTTCTTGTTATCCTGGTGGGAATCAATCTTCCTTTTGCCCGAACTAGAGCCGGGCGGCACAGATGAGATGGACTGGGCGTACTGAGCAACTGTCTGAGAAGGCTTGGAGGCATGATAATATGAAGGGACTGGGGCTATCGGAATGAGACAGCTCTCTACCTCTTGAGCCCGACTCACGGTATCTGCATAAGACATCGGTCCGTGACTCCCCACCAGTTCACGGATCCTCTGATTGAGCCCCTTAAGAAACTTGCGGGCCTTCTTGGCATCGGTGTTCACTGCGTCGCCCGCAAAAAGGCACATGCGGGTGAAGGTGCGGATATACTCATCCACTGTGGAGCTGCCCTGCTGCAAGTGGTAAAACTCATGCTCCATTCTGTCCCAAAAGCTCTGGGGAAGGAACTTGCTACGCACCATCGTCTTCATTTGCTCCCAAGTGAGTGCATGAAGCTCTGCCTCCGGCCTCCGAGCCCAGTGGTCAATCCACCAGTCGGAAGCGTCCTCCTTCATCTGATAAGCTGCTAGGGACACTCGCTGACGGTCAGGGAGGGGAAGCACAACGAAGATCTTATCCAGTTATTTGATCCACTCTAGCACCGCTGTGGGGTTCTCAGTCCCCGCAAAAGTTGGTGCATTCATTCTCTGAAACTGGACGATAAGCTGAGTAAGATCCATGGCCGGAGGGGCCTGGTGCTGACGGGACGGAGAAGGTTGCGGGGATGCCTGACGGTTACGGTTGTTGCGAGCATTCATACTTCTACATTGAATAAGCCGAACAAGGTTTAGCACAAAAACAAACAAAATGATCAATAATTATAGAAGTCTAGAGTTCGTCAATAAACACTAATGTTCGATTAAATCAAGGTGGATAGGTCCTAAGCCCCGAATTATAGCACATAAATAATAAACACTTATTTCATAAATATTCTCAGTATTACTTATGACTTACATACCTTAAGCGGCGCGGCATGACGAAGACGAGTGGTCGATGCTTATACTCAAATATTCATAAATGCACATAAACTACGTTAGCCAGTCTACAGAAACGCAGACTGGCTCTGATACCAAACTGTAACGCCCCACTTTTATTTGATGAAAGTCAAGGATTTTTCAAAAAAGTCAACTTAAAATTTTCAAAATTTATTTCATAAATCGGTGGCGCTACTCAACTAAATCACATAATAACATTAATCATACTTTCATAATTCATAAATCATAAATCCGAAGTATCCATAAATCTCAAGTTCGTCCAAATCCCAAAGTCATAAATGCATAAATATAACCAATGTTCGTAATAACGACAATATTCCAAGTTTCATAAATGTAAGTGGAAGCTACTATATTAGGTCAGATCAACAACCGACCACCACTCGTCTTTGCCTCGTCATCCGACACCAGCTTAACCTGCATCCATGAAGAGCAGGTGGGAGTGAGCACGGTGAACTGTAGTGCTCACTACTATGCACATGAATAATAATAAAGTACGAGAAATTAAATGGTATGGTCGTTGTATGAACATAGTCAATAAATATCCCATCTCCTAACCAAAGTAATTCTCATGTGCACACCTATAACAATAGACTGCTGCTCGTATGCCTTTCGGCGAACATAAATGGGGTGCCCAAACAGCGGGAGGCTCAACCGTCACAGCACGCACCTAGTGCTTGGACAGGATATCCATCACCGGCCAGGGCACATTGCCAAGGTCTTACAGATGACGTGGTCCTTAGCAAAGGACAAACGTGGAGATTACCCTTGCGGGGTACGTTCTATATCTACGGGGATAACCGTTCGACGGCCGGTACAGCTCACATCGAAGATTACATGCTCACATGCATACATTGATCATACCCACTTAAATAAAGCAATTATCATTCAAGGCATAGACAATTTTGAATAACCCACCTGGATAGCTTGGTAGAAAATAACACACGATCACAAGTACGTAGGATGAGGGCTCGACTCCTCAAACACCTACATTTAAGCGAGATAATATATCAATAATTTATCTCACTACTAGAATTTAACATAAAACCCATACTTAATAAAAATTAAGTCTTAAGGGTTTTAATCGGATTTTTCGTGGACTTGGAACTCTCTCATTCTTGAAAAATTACGACTCAGAGAACTAAAATTGGAGTCTCGGGACTTAAAAACTTTTTTCTAAATTTTTCTCCTTTGAAAATAATTTTTTTTTAAAATTGAAATCGTTACGAAAAACGGACTCCAGAACACAAAATAGGCTTAAAAAAATCAATTGGGCTGCATGAGCCACAATTTGGGCCGCTACATTAGTTACTGGGCCGCACATGAAGGTCTGGCCCAAGGCAAAGCAGCTGAAGCAGACGCGGGCCTCCACTGGGCCGGGGCGCGGGCCAATAGCTGAGAGAGAAGTCGGGCCACTCGCGGGCCAGAATCGGGCCTAGCGGCCCATGCGCTGGCTGCTAAAAAAAAAGAAGGCTATCTGCAAAGGGCTGGGATCGAACTCTGCACCTATAACGTATATATCACCGGCACAACCACTGCGCCACTCGACTAGATGCGATGCTAATTGAATACAAATATATATAAATTGTGAAAGACAACCCTGCTATTCAACAGCAGAAATCGAAACAGAGGCTGCCCATAGCTTGAAAAAAAATCCTAACAGAAGCTACAGAATACAGAATCTGAACAATCATATATGAATTGTGTCTTATCAGAGTTTGAAACATTTTAAAGAAAACGGTTTTGACTCGAAAACGAAACGACTATAATAACGATTCGAACGAAACGCAAATATGAGTAACAAAACGACAAGGCTCGAGATTTTAAACCGAGACTCTGAATTATCTTGACCAAAGAAATCACAGCAGCTAATGACCAATACACGTTAAAAGAGAGTTCCACGAGTATCCACGACAAACACGAAAAATCAACAAACATAAAAGAACCGAACAAAAATCCGACGATCAACGAGAATCAATAGCTGAGTATGGTATATATTCAGCGAATAACACGATTACGCAAGAATAAACTGAGAAGGTTCGAAAGAATTTACCCGTCTTCGGGAATATCGGAACGACGGGTCGGACAACGGGGTGACCGGAACTCGTAACTCCTCGAAACTTGATGGACGGCTATTGGAAACTTGATGGACGGCTATTGCTCACGAACGTCCTGCTGCTCCTCACGATGGACGAACAGGTCGGAAATGAGACTCGGCACGAACAGAACGGCCGGCTCGGCGGGGATGTGCTTTCCGTGCGTGAACAAAGTCAGTAACGTAGGTCTTCGACGGAGGTGACGGATGAGGGTGTTGCAAGGGATTCGAATCAGATGCAGTAACCGTGAGCAGGCCCGCGATGGAAGGTTGCTCCGAACAACGGTGATGGCAGGGCTCTCACCGGAGATGATGGTGGAGACTGAATTTTTAGGGCAGGATGGTGTTGAACGATAAAGTAGAAAACTCCCGAACTGAAACTCGGTCAGTTTATAGGGATAAGATGAGAGATCAATCAGCGATGCGAAGAAGATTTTCCCATAAAATCACAACAAGAACTTAGTCGTTGAGGGACGGAGAAACCTAGTCGTACGCGTAGGAAGAAAGAATATCTGTTCTTTTCTTTTTGCACGTGAAAGTATGACCCATACCATGTTTCTCAATTGGGCTTGAGTCAATTAGGCCAATTTAAAACAATTTGGGCTGAAATAAATTAATTTCAATTGGCTCGGGAACAATATACAATGCAATAATAATAATAATTCCTGATTAGTTCGAGTGAACGAAATAAATCGAATAACACAACTTATAATATTAATTAGATTACATCTAATTAAATAATAATAATAAGTCTAAACAGATATGTTGAGCGATACACAATAATAATATTTACATATTAATAAGCAAATAATCAATTTAGACATTTAATCACAACAACAACAACAACAATAAATATAATAATAATAATAATAATAATAATGATAATAATATAAATAAGCAATAATAATGGCAATAAAAAAACAATAAATAATCCTAAATAATTCTAATCGAAACGGGGCGTTACAACAGCAGCACGCCAGCGACCGTCCCAGCGCACGCACGGTGCCATCGGCACCAACCAGCGCCCGGGACCAACCC